AGAATATTATAGATTATTTAATAGCGAAGTTATTAGCTAAATAAGCGAGACGCTAAGCCTATTTAGAAATTAGTATATAAGTTTAAAAAGAATAAAAATAGCTATTCTATATCTCTTATTCTTTTATATTTTTTTACTTCGTCTTAACTACTTTAATTATTACCTATTAATCTCATATATAAAGATCTATTAATAAGTCGATTATAAATATATTTCTAGTACGATTTAGCTATTTATTCGCTACGTATAAAGAGCGTAATTATAGAGTATAGTAATAGTAAGATAACTTAAGCGAAACCGATTTTTATTCTATTAATTTTTATCTAGATTAATTAATTAATCAAATAATAGATTCTATTTATATCTATAAAGAAAGCGTTATTATACTACTTTCTTTTATATTAATCGTTATTATAATACGACGACTATCTATTAGAAGCACCTACTACCACGATCGAAACGATATATATATCTTATCTACTACCGAGTATACTCTATAGAGACATCCACTACACCTTACCGCCGCCGTAGCTCTCCGTCGTACTATATCGTACCGCCGCTCCGGTACGTCAAAAGTATATCCTAGCACGTCCCAGCACGTCCCAGCACGTCAGAAGCACGTTAGAAGCACGTATAAACACGTTCTACGACTACGTACACGTGCCATAACCCCAGAGCATCAAAAAAAGAATATCTATAGGCCTGTTTGGGAGCACGTTAGCAAGCAATAGCCTGGCAAATGCCGGGCAAATACGAATAGTATAAGGGGGTTTTTTAGATATAGTAGTATAATCACGTGTGTCATAGGTTCAACGATATTAATCATCATGAAATTTCAGTGCATATGGACTTTTAGTGGATTTGAACTTACTTGCTTAAAACCAGGCTAGTCACGTGGCTAGTCACTAGTCACGAAATGTGTGGTTTTTAAAGTGGTTTTCCACTACACCATAAGGCCTAGATGTAATTTCGATTGCTATTACCAGTTATAAAGACAAAAAAATCAAAATAGGCCACATCTGAGCCTGCACCCATATCACGTGACTCGGTAAGCTTTCCACTACTGGGTAGCCCCGCGCCCCAGCACATATTTACATAAGACCTTTGGCGCCAATGTAAAGTGGTCGCTCCGCTCCTCTGTTGACAGTTGACAGGAGCTCCTGAAAGTTCTGAACCAGCTCTACGCGATTACCAAGCTTCCAAAGCATAATCGAAAGTATGGCCGCGATGCCAGCTCTCGAGCTCACTGACCCCAGCGTCATCCCAGAAATAGCCAAGGGTGTTCGCTCCACGTTCCTCACACACAAGACGAGATCCATCGAATTCAGGCTGGTCCAGCTGCGGAAACTGTATTGGGGGTGAGGGTCCTTTTCGACATAGGAAATTTCCATGGCTGACCGTTGTCAGCATGAAAGATAATGCCAACGCCATTGAAGCGGCCTGCAAGCTCGATCTAGGCAAAGGAATTTTCGAGTCCAACCTTTCGGAGCTCAACTTTTGTACGAACACACTTATATATGATATCAACAATCTGGAAAAATGGGCCAGGGATGAGAGTTCACCGGATGTGCCAATTGATATGATGGTACTGCGGCCGAAGATTAGGAAGGATCCTCTGGGGACGGTGCTGATCCTTGGGTCTGTCGCTCTGACCACCATGTCTCGGCCGAGCAAGTATAGCATAGCTGACAGCTGCATAGACCCTACAACTTCCCAGTCAATCTCTTGATCTGCCCGTTGGCCGGTGCAATTGCAGCAGGAAACACTGCTGTCGTCAAGCCCAGCGAGAACGCACCTAACGTCGCCGCTGTCATGCAGAAGGTGATCGAAGGCTATTTGGACCAATCCTGCTACCGAGTCGTTCAAGGGGCTATCCCGCAGAGCACGGCATTACTGGAGCAAAAGTGGGACAAGATTTTCTACACAGGCGGAGCCTCGGTAGGCACCATCATTGCCAAGAAGGCCGCGGAGACCCTCACACCCGTCATCCTCGAGCTTGGTGCCCGTAACCCAGCTATTGTGACGAAGAATGCCGATATACGATTAGCGGCGAGAAGGCTTCTCTGGGGTAAAGTGCATAACGCAGGGCAGGTCTGTATATCGCAGAATTACACATTGGTTGATAAAGAAGTGTTTGACCGCTTCGTCCTGGAGATGAAGAAAGCAATGAAAGAGTACTACCCGAATGGCACGCGCAACACGGAAGACTTCGGCCGCATAGTCAACAACAGGCAATGGCAGCGTATAAAGAAAATGCTTGACGATAGTCAAGGTCAGATACTGATGGGCGGTGACATGGACGAGAGCGATCGATACATCGAACCGACTATCATCCGAGTCTCGTCCCTGACGGACAGCTTGATTACCGAAGAGTCTTTTGGCCCTCTCATGCCTTTATTGCCCGTCTCCAACCTCGACGAGGCGATCCGCATCGCAAACGAAGTCCACGCAACGCCTCTTGCAATTTATCCCTTTGGTAACAAGACGGAAACGGATCGCTGTCTAGCAGAAATCCGATCTGGTGGTGCGTCTGTGAATGACGGCTTTATGCATGGTTCTCTTCCCACCCTTGCTTTTGGTGGTATTGGAGACTCGGGCCACGGCGCGTACAGGGGCAAAGCGAGTTTTGATTGTTTCAGCCATGCCAGGACCATCACCAGTACACCAGGGTGGGTCGAATTCTTGATGGCGGTGAGGTATCCGCCTTATGAGGGAAAGATGAAGATGGTACGGCGGATGGAGCTTAAGCCGGACTTCGATCGGGAGGGACGGGTGAAGTTCAGTCTGGTGAGGTACATAGTGGGCCTGGGCGCGACGAGTAAAACTGGAGGATTGGTTCGCTACTTAGTAGTAATACTAGGTAAGTGAGGAGGACTGGCTTATGTCTGAGGTAGTGCTGACATGCCATAGCGGCGTTGGGTCTGAAGCAGTTCTTTACGTTGTGATCCGTCAAGTTGGACGTGGGTCGCGGGAGCTATAAAAGTGTACGAGTATGTGGGTGTTGTTACTAAGTCAATTTCCGAAGCGGTATATCGAGATGGAGACAAAGGAACGACAGTGAATGAGCACGCTCAGAAATGTTTCAACTCCAGTACATATTCCACAATTCTAGGATTCATCTGATATGGGCATGCAAAACGGGGCTTATTACTAATTCATACCCCAAAACTATGATTCCTTACCGAATCATACCCCTGATCACTGATTCATACAAATTTTGGGGTATGACTTGGTAATTTATTACAGTTGCCCTGGTGGCTTACTTGAGTGGCCTCTTGAGTGGCCTACTGATAGATATAGCTAGGTGTCTATGCCTATGCTGGCCATTAGGAGTGTAGTTAGAAGTGTAGGTATTCGAGAGCTATAGGCTGAGTGCAGATAGGCTGGAAGACTACCTAAGTTTTCATTTGTGGGGAAGTAAGGTAGTTAAGTAGTGTTCGAAAAGATATAAACGGCTACTAGACCCCATGGCGTAGCGTTTAAGGATGCCCTAAGATTTTTGAAAATGCGGCTTCAACGCGAGCTTTCCGGTGTAAGAGAGCCTGCCGTAGGTGGCGATGGGTTTCTCTCAGTGTCTGGTAGATGATGGTGATATGATAGAGTGTTGAGGAGTTTGAGTTATGTTCACTCGGCTTTCGTCGAATATATCTACAGAGGTCTACACGGAAAAGTCCTGGACGCCAAGACTTTTGCGCCAAGGTCTCGGATAGCCGCCCCGGCCTGAAGGTGTGCCGGGACAAATGCGCTTAAATAGGCTTCGGAATTTTGCGCCTGACCTGAGCCCTGTCACCCCTAAGGTATGAGACCCGGTAGAGATCCCTACCGTTCAATCTCTGCATTCTCTCAGGGAATAGTTGGAGAGCCGAGGCCGTCCTGTATTACAGGGCTGCCTTCCGAATGTAGGGTTAGGGTCTGTGACCAGTGCTGTCTGGTTCGAATTCTTTCGGGATGCGGTCGGCGAAATTCCCTCCTTTCTACTTTATGGTCGGATGGCCCAGGTCACGGATCCTCTCCTTTGCGATTTTCACCCTGGATGGCAAGTTACTGAATGATACCCCTAGGGGTATGATTCGGTTAGGAATCATAAGGTATTTTTGGGGTATAAATAAGTAATTACTTAGTTTCATGAGGAAACGCACAATACTAGGAAATGCGGAATCTTTAAATCCGATAAATCCGATATAGCTGGCTACCACTATTATGGCTACCACTACTACTTATTTAAATGACTACTGCACCTCCTACGTCAGGCCCACTAAGATTACTATCGTTCGCTTCACTGAAGGCTCCGTCGTAGTCTTTACTGTAGTACCTTCGTAGTAATATACCTAGTAAGATGAAAGAGGTACGATTTTTACGCGTTGGTAGACCGATAAGGCCTAAAAATTAATGATTTGGGTTCCTCGATATAGAAGCCTTGATAGCAAGAAAGAACCAGAGTTATTCATCCTTATTATGCGGAGTTACCATAGAATTTTGGTGAGAAGTAAACATTTGAGTGTTGGATCGGACTTATCGGATTTAAGATTCCGCATTTCCTAATATTGTGCGTTTCCTCATGAAACTAATTAGCCCATGCAAAATGTATACAATCTTTTTTCGGCTGTCAACTACCGACCATCTCATTTTCCTCGCAATACCTCCATGCCCTTTCTCTTGCGCAACGTCCGCCACAGATCGGCCCTTTCTATCTTTAAATCTTGGATCTGCCCCCTTTTCGAGCAAGAGGTCTACAATCTCCGAGTACCCTTTCGCTGCAGCACTATCCCATCGTCTGGCAGGGGGTAAAATTCAGGGGTTCCGACCGAACATCAAAAAGTCCCGTCTTGCAACTCACCATAACTCAATAACGAGGACCCCCATAGAAAAGTTTATAGTTTCGCATTTATTTTTCTTAAGCAGATCTTGAACTTCGCAACTGAAAGTTTTACTGTAAAGGTTGTCATTAGAAAGTTATTGGGCTGCGAAAGTATGGTATTTTAATGTTCTGCCAAGACATTTTACCTCCAAGGCGCCAGACGATGGGATACAACGCCGTCCAGCTTCCTCTGATCATAGGCCCCATACTCCTCCGTGATGGAGGGGTGGGCGTTTTTGGCCGCGAGAGCGGCCATTTGGGAGAGAGTGGGTGGTTCTGTTGAGGCGTCTGGGTGCACGAGATCATGGTAGAGGGATTGGGAGTTAGCCAGAGTAGGGTGCTTGACCGTGATGAGATCCCCGCCTTCTCTGAACGCACCGGGTGACGGTGCTAATATTCCAGTGTGACGAGAAGCAAGGGTTGCATTCCTGTAGGCAAAGAGGGATTCGTCTTCCGACATGCCGAGAAACTCATCAATTGCCGCACCCTGGGTGGTGTAAGTCCATGTGGGATTCCTCGCTGCCGTTACTCTCGTACTCCCCCAGGCAAAGAGAGATTTGTCTTCCGACGCTCTGAGAATCTCATGCTGAAGTCTTAAGAATGCGCGATCCCCTTCCCCGTAAAGCAGTGGCATGTTCACATCAAAGATGCCCATCAGGCAGTACGCAATATCTTCCACTCTTGCTGTATCCCTCTGGAAAGCCCATGACGTTTTAGCTGCTACGCCTGCACTTTTAGGCTGCGCCAGAGGGTTTAGCGGTATACTTGTGGCCTGCGGGCTGCGCTATTTCACCTTGAAGGCTCCATTCCGTGCCTACCTCCCTCCACTCACAGTCACAGAACACGACAGCCGGTGGAGCCAAAAGCTCTTGGAGGGTCCATCCTCTACTAAACCACCTACTCCGATCGAAATCTTCCAGTCTGGAAGTATCGTCCAGGTAATGCCGAAATAGATCGACTAAGTAGATGTAGCAGACATCCGCTCGCTCGTACCATTGGTACATCGAATTGATGGCTTCCGAGAGCTCGGCGCTGCTCGTTTTGTCAATACAACAAGTGTCAATCCAGACACGTTCCCAGCCATCAGAAGCTGTCAGACCGCAGCAGCCAAGGATTTTATGATATCCGATCTTTGTGCTACAATCCGATCGTTCAATGTCTTGGAAAGACACTTCATCCTCTCCCCACGTGTGCGAAAGTATTGCATATGGGGGGGATCGAACTACCGTGGAACTCGTGGAGCGTCCTGGTGGACGCTTTCAGAAGACGCATTTTCAATAACGTAGTGAAGTGGAGGCCTGCTCAAGGGTGCCTTCACACTGATGTAGTTTTCTGCGCCTAGGTTGCACAAGAAAGATCCTATCAAAATTTCAGCGCTTTTAACACTGCCACGAGAGATGGATAAGGTAAACGGCACACCCTTAGCAGGAGAAGGAGCGCCAAGCAGCCGCCCGCAAACATCTGTTGATCGGAAGTTCGTCCTTTCTGATTACAAACGCTATCAAGGCGTTAGGGTGCACTGGATGCGTTTGGCGAGGATTCTTCGCTGTCCTGTCTATTGTCATATGATCTGATTTCCGTGTCTCTCCGACTGGCATGGTATCGTGGGATCTGGTCTCTGTCGAGCAATATCGTTTGAACAATCGCCCACCATGCAATTTCTTAGAGTACGAGGAATGTATACTCTATGTTTATCTTCCTATGTCTCTAATAAAGCGTCTTTAACACCTCGTCTCTACCCCTTTCTTGCTGACCGTCAAGTATTTGACGCCCTTGTAGGGTTTCACGCCTTCACCCAATCCCCTACTCTTCCTCGTATCGAGCACGAGTCCATCCACTCTGATACCGCTCGCTAGCCACCCCTTTACACTAAAGCTGACAGAAGCCGACGATGGCATAAATGAAGCATTCTGCTGTATCTTTCTCTGATCACGGGACTGGTTCTGCTCTTTCGCGGAACTCTTCCTGGGAGCATCTAGTGCGGAGCTTTGGTATGTCTCTTCTTTATCGTCATAATCACCATTTGCAGCGTCGAAGGTGAAGCCGTTGGCTCCGTCCTCGTCGTCTCCCGTCAATGGCCCTACGATCGTACAACGCAAAGTTGCATTGCCAGCCGCTGCCGCATCTTTGGTCAGCAATCGCCATTCAACAACGTTGTCCGCTGGGGTAAAGTAGGCTTCGCCGCGGCTGGCGCGTAGGTCTGTGATATTCCGTACCGCTTTCGGGACTGGAACGGTGACAACAACGTCTTGTAATGTAGGTCCGGAAGCGCTGCTACCAAATATTGGCGTCGATCTGCCAGATCCTCTTGTGCCGAGATTAGGACGGGAGGCAGATGCTGATGTAGATGCGCCAGGCAAGATCGAAGACAAGATCAGGCGGACTTCGAAGTCCGCGCCAATGAGACCGAGTGACTTAGTGACTTCGATCGAGACCGGCAGCTGTAGGTTCGTGTTCGACCAAGATTTGAGGTCTAGATTGGAAGGCATAAGGTTCACCTCGTAACCAGCTAGCATGAATTTGCCATCTGGTGGGACAAAGCTCAATTCGCCAGGTCTTTCTTTCCACCTAGCTAACCTCACGCATGGGTGAAAAACCGGCAGCTCGATGGCTTTTTCCATACCTAGCTTCCCGCCGGATGCTGAGAGGGTGAGAAGCAGGTCCGGGACACCCGAGATCTTGGACGTGAATGCGATGGATCCATTTGCGAAGGCTGCTAGAGGCCTACCAGATGGCGCAAGAGTGACCGATAGACTTTCGACAATGTCAACGTACAGCTCATTACTCGTGTGACGAACGTTAGCGCGTCGCCACGGAATAGCAGGGCCATTGGATGTAGGGTTCAGGCTCATTTGTTGCTTCAAGCCACCAGAGGGCAATAATGCGGGCGATGACCTGAATTCACATAAGCTTGGAGACCTTCTTTTTATACGGCCTGTATCCAGCATACCCAGGTAGAGCTACCCCACCTAACAACTTCCCAAGAAAGCCGGATACATCGACGTCGTCTCTCAGCGCATTCGGCTCTGTATTGCAGACGCTGCCAGCATCACACATCTCACCCAAGAGCTGAGCCACGACATCATAGTTCCCTTCTATTTTAGTCGCCAACAGCGGGTCGCCAATGAACTCTTCCAAGACATCGATGACTCGATGAAGGAACTCGAGCACGAACAATGGCTCCGTCTCTGTCGACACAGGTGATAGGAATAAGAGGTTGTTATGGATGACGGAGAAGAGGACGGTGGGAGGATTTACATTTGGGAGGTAGATTAGGGAGGGTCGGGGTGTGGGATGGGCGAGGTAGAGGGGGAGGACGAGTCGGGCAGAAGCTGGCCTGGAGCGGTAGACATGTTCTAGGATCGATTCACTGCACACAGATCAGTATCGAGATGCAGGAATGAAGATGAAACCAAGGAGACGTACTTGTGTTGATCAAAGATGTAGAGCGCCTCAATGGCATTGCTTAGCATCTTGTTAACATGTTTGTGAGCAAAGAATCTCAAACATAGGAAAGTCGAAGTCGATGCTAAGCACAGCCACACGTGGGGGCGGGTCGATCCGCTAGGTCTCCCGCCGTCAACTTCCAGCTCTCCGGTCTTCGCTCCCTATTTACCTAGGCTTTTAGCTGCTTCTTGATATCAACCCCCAAAGCCAAAACAATGCGACAGCGAAGAAACTGGACGAGGGTGTGACACCAAAACTGATCTATTGCCATCCCCATCTCCCAGATATGTCGAATCCATCTTCCAACCAACCTAATCCCGGACTGTACGCTCTCCAAAAGCCCGAGAAGCTGTCGAAGATCCTCAAGGAGGACAAAGATGATTGCCTGTCCTGTAGGCTGGTCGGTCAGCTTATCTTCCTTTCTTTTAAGCAACGTATATTTGACTAATCCATTAAACAGGCGCGTCGGCATTCATCGGGCTTGGGGCATATGTCTATTACTCTGGGAAACAAGGGCTAAAAGAGCGGGGACACTTAATCGCGAGGCAAAGTGGAATGGGTGGAGTGAGGTGGAGGCTTCGGGGAATTGCGCTTCTGTCTTCGTGCTTCGTTGGTATGGGCTTGTATCGGTTGGTGAACTAAGGCAGAAAGGAAATCACAGGATAGGATCGTGAGAAGGAGGCACGAGGTATGGACTACGGGTCAGCAAGACTCCAGCTTCGGTCTGGTGGAGATCCTAACATGGGGCCTCGGTCATCCAGAGTTGGCGTAAGCTCGTCGGGGATGACCTGGTCGAAAAGTGGGGCCGAATCAAACGCTCCACTCAGAAGACGGAAGTGGATATGAAGGCTCTTGCATTCATAGTGAAGAAGCTTTATGCAATTGAAGCAATGTGTAATTGTCGATCAAAATATCGACAGCCCTCATCCCATACTATCAAGGCAACTCGGTCGCTATCTCCAACTGCGATACCTTCATGCAAAGTTATCCCAACGGTCCCGTATGTACAACGACCGGCATGGTCTTAGCAATACCATTATTTCCCTCTTAACAGCTTCTATTACTCAGGTAAAGCGGCCTCGCTTCCCGCCTCCATCACGTCCATCTTTACCGTCCCCAAGACTGCCCAGATCGAAGTAATCCCCAAACGTAATCCTCCTCTTTGACCCCGCCACTGAACCTAGTGACTTTGCGCCAGCAGTAGATCTAGCACCATGCCGGTTTTGATGATTGCCACCTCGGTGTGGTGTTCGGGATCCTCGAGACACCACGTCAACTCTCACTGCAGGACTCGGTAAAGGGTCTGGCTGAGGGATGGTGTTGCTGGTCGTGTCGGCGGCCTGCATGTCGACGTCGTAAGGGTATGGATGAGCGGATCTAAAAGAGAAGACCTCGGGGGCGTGAAATAAATTGTTCTGTGGCTGAGAAGTTGCTGGAGGAGCCATGGGAACAGAAGCTGCTCGCACAGGCGATGTTGATCGTGAGGGCTGTCTTGCCTGCTCACCCTCTGGTACAGTCGAGCGTTGGGCGGTTGGTGAGCTACTCCTAGCTCTTTTTGTTGTCTCGCCTCGATCATCATCACTATCACTGCCCATATGTGCCGGTGGACTACCATCCAAGCGCTCCGTAGCCCACTGCCGAACCTTCCACCCTTCTCCATCACCTAAGCCGAGATGCTGTTGATCGAGGAAGGTCAGGAGGTCATCGAGTGCATCTTGGTATCCAGCATCTCGGGATCGAGTCTGATCGGCGGCGGCTGTTTTGTAGAGATTTGTGACGGAGAGAGCGGCACTCTTGAAGGATTGGATAAGCTGTTCAGGTGGTTGGTTGGCCCTTTTTCTTCGCGGGGAACGAGGCAGAGAAGTGTTCAGGGTCCTCATGGAGTCCATAGCAGTTTCTGTGGTCTCTAGCCTTTTGTAATCTCGAGGCAAGGAACTTGGATAGACGGGTGGTGGTCGGGAATAGTGGGGGTTGACAAGAATCGTTGTAGGTTTTGGCTGGAATATTGCGTTGAGACACTCTGTTGTGGTGAAGCTTGCGGTCAATGTCACAGAATAGTGAATGCGTGTCTGAGTAAGAAATCCTCCTTCACTCGAAATATGGTGGGATGCAGGAATCTGGTGAGCCGCTCTCGGCTGACAACAAAAGGCTTGGCGACTACTGAAGCACCTAGCGCCGGAGGTACGGCCAATCGGGAGCCGCATGGGAAGGTTTAGCGAGATTTTAGAGTGAACGCGAGAGCTCATACTTGAACGCAATCTTCTCATTGCTCTCTCCATGCCATTTCTCTACCTTCACAACTCCACATACTTCATCCACAATCCACTCTACACGTCTATAAAAGCTTCAGCCACCCCAGCGACCCCCACAAACCTCTTTGAACCATCAATATCAACTTGCGCTTTCCCTAGCTCGCGGGTGAACACCCCCAGCGTCTGGGAGGATGGCACCCTCTAATAGAATCTCCCACGCCAACTCCAGTGCGACCACGCCCTCGGACACGTCTATGACCGAGAACAACGGTCGTTTCAATGGCCGCAAGTCAGCTGCACATGACGAAGACAGCGTAATGGTATGTTACTTCCCCCCTCCGCCGGGCTAATAGAAGACTTGGCACTACCCTCGCGGAGGAAGGCCTGCGGGATCGTGGCTTCAGGAACACCCACTAATCATAGTCACATTAGGATAACCAGGAGACTCCAGACTACTCGGTCAGCATTATGTTCCCTATTATTGCTATTGATTTTACTTATCACTTATGCCCTGAATAGGACTCAGACACCAATCCCAATACGACGGCAAGCAGTGTCATGGGTGATGTGTTCCAACCCGATGGTCGTAAGCGGAGAATTGAAGCGACACAGTTACGAAAGACTGTTTTCGGTAAAAAGCACAGTCGGCTAGATGACACTAAGGTATGGTTCACGCTGTGGGACATTGTGGATCCACATGTTTTACTAACGGCTCTGATACAACAGGAAGACGATACTATTAGACGCTTTCGCTACCTCTTAGGATTGACAGACTTATTTCGGCATTTTATCGACGCTAACCCGAATCCACAGATCAAAGAGATCATGGCTACAATTGATCATCAGAACGAGGAGGAGGAACGGAAGGCCAAGAAAGGTCATGGGAGAGCAGGCGGAGCGGCCGGTGAGCGACGGCGCAGGACAGAGCAAGAAGAAGATGCCGAGCTGCTGAAGGACGAAAAGAGAGGCGGACAGGCAGAGACAATGTTCTACGAATCACCCGGTTTCATTCAAGGCGGGGTAATGCGCGACTATCAGGTTTCTGGGCTCAACTGGCTCATCTCACTCCACGAGAATGGCATTTCGGGAATCCTCGCGGATGAGATGGGCTTGGGAAAGACGTTGCAGACTATTGCCTTCCTAGGTTATCTTCGGCACGTTTGTGGTATCAAAGGCCCTCATCTCATCACTGTGCCGAAGTCAACACTCGACAATTGGAATCGTGAATTCAAAATGTGGACACCTGAAGTCAACGTCTTAATTTTGCAAGGAGCAAAGGACGAACGACATCAGTTGATCAATGACCGCCTGGTCGACGAGAAATTTGATGTCTGCATCACAAGCTACGAAATGATTCTTCGGGAGAAGGCCCATCTGAAGAAATTTGCCTGGGAGTACATCATTATTGATGAGGCACATCGCATTAAGAATGAGGAATCTTCTCTGGCGCAGATCATCCGCCTCTTCAACTCACGAAACCGCCTACTCATCACGGGCACGCCCTTGCAAAACAACTTGCACGAACTTTGGGCTTTGTTGAATTTCTTGCTCCCGGATGTGTTCGGCGACTCAGAAGCATTTGATCAATGGTTCTCAGGGCAGAACGCGGATCAAGATACCGTCGTTCAGCAATTGCACCGAGTCCTTCGGCCTTTCCTGCTGAGAAGAGTCAAGAGCGACGTTGAGAAGAGTCTGCTGCCAAAGAAGGAAGTCAATCTTTATATTGGCATGTCCGAGATGCAAGTCAAATGGTACAAGAAGATTCTCGAAAAAGACATAGACGCCGTGAACGGCGCTGCAGGCAAGCGTGAGTCTAAGACGCGGTTGCTCAACATTGTCATGCAACTACGAAAGTGCTGCAATCACCCATACCTCTTCGAGGGCGCCGAGCCTGGACCACCATACACCACTGACGAGCATCTTGTCTACAATGCTGGTAAGATGGTCATGCTTGACAAGATTCTTGTCAGGATGAAGAAGCAGGGCAGCAGAGTCCTTATTTTTTCCCAAATGAGCAGAGTCCTGGACATTCTGGAGGACTACTGCGTCTTCCGTGAGCACAAATATTGCAGAATCGACGGATCAACGGCTCACGAGGATCGCATTGCTGGCATTGATGAGTACAACAAGCCAGGATCAGAGAAATTTGTCTTTTTGTTGACCACCCGCGCCGGCGGTCTTGGCATTAATCTTACCAGTGCTGACATTGTAATCCTCTTCGACAGTGACTGGAACCCCCAAGCAGATCTGCAGGCAATGGATCGAGCGCATCGGATAGGGCAGAAGAAACAGGTTGTTGTATTCCGATTCGTCACGGAACACGCTATAGAGGAGAAGGTGCTCGAGAGAGCGGCGCAGAAATTACGTCTTGACCAACTGGTTATTCAGCAGGGGCGTGCACAACAGGCGGCAAAAGCAGCTGCGTCCAAGGACGAGCTGGTCAATATGATTCAGCACGGCGCAACTGAAGTGTTCGAGAGCAAAGGTGCAACTGGCGTGCTCGGCAACAAATCCGATCTAACTGATGACGATATCGACCAAATTCTGCAGCATGGTGAAGAGCGCACGAAAGCTCTAAACGCGAGATACGAGAAGCTTGGCATCGATGACTTGCAGAATTTTGCATCAGAAAACGCCTACGAGTGGAATGGCGAGAATTTCAATAAGAATTCCAGAAAGGATGTGGGAATTGCATGGATCAATCCATCAAAGCGTGAACGCAAGGAGCAATCATACTCGATGGACAAGTATTACCGGAATGCACTGTCAACAGGTGGAAGGACGGCCGATACAAAACCAAAAGCGCCGCGTGCACCGAAACAAGTCCAAGTTCATGACTATCAGTTCTTTCCTCCACAGCTTGTTGATCTCCAGGAACGTGAGACCGCTTGGTTTCGTAAAGAAATTGGTTACAAGGTTCCTCTGCCTGAACGAGAGGATTTGACCGAGAGCGAAGCAGAAGCTGAGCGCGACTTGGAGCAGCAGGAAATTGACAACGCCACACCCTTGACCGAAGAAGAACAAGAAGAGAAGGAGCGGATGTCTTCTCTAGGGTTTGCGGATTGGAATCGAAGAGATTTCCAGCAATTCGTAAATGGCTCTGCTAAGTATGGTCGAAACAACTACGAAGGTATTGCGGAAGAAGTCGATGGCAAGGACGCAAAGGAGATCAAAGACTATGCCAAAGCCTTTTGGCAAAAGTACATGGAGATCCAGGATTACACTAAATACATCACTAACATCGAAACGGGCGAGGAGAAGACCCGGAAGCTGAACCACCAGCGGAAGATGCTCAAGCGAAAGATGGATATGTACCGCGTCCCACTGCAACAACTGAAGCTGAATTACTCAGTCTCGACAACCAACAAGAAAGTATATACAGAGGAAGAAGATCGCTTCTTGCTTGTCATGTTAGACCGGTATGGCGTTGATGGAGAGGGCATCTACGACAAGATCCGAGACGAAATCCGCGAGAGCCCTTTGTTCCGATTCGACTGGTTTTTCCTGAGCCGTACACCTATCGAGATTGGGCGTAGGTGTACTACTCTCCTGACAACAGTCTCGAGGGAATTTGAAGGGGCGGACGGGAAGATGGCCAATGGTCATAAGGGCAGATCTAGAGACGAGAACGACGAGGAGGAAGAAGATGTGGCGCCTGCCAAGAAGCGGGCTAAGAACGGAGTCAAGGTATGTGACTCATGTGCGGGAATGTCTGCGGATCATGCTGACGTCTTGTTATTACAGAACAAGCAGCTTGAAGTGGTCAAGAACGGCAGTAGAGCGAGCTCCGGGCAGACCTCGAGAGCAGTGAGCGTATCGTCCAACGGTACTAGTTCGAAGGCCAAGGGGAAGGGAAGGAAGAGATGATTCTTCACGCTTTTCGACATCCTTGTGTAGGCGCACGAATCTTATCATGAGTGCAGGGCGTTGGTTGGAGGAGGGTTCTTCGAAATGACTAGATTATGCAAGGCTTTGTTTGCATTGGCATTATGACTGGCTTGCGAATGTACGCTATTAGTGTTAGATGTAGCAGGCTTGAGCCTTGAGATATGACTCGCTCAACTATCGAAACATTTCTATCAGTCGCTCGTCCTAGGTTGCATCTCTTGCAGAACTCAGTAGTAACCTCATGGGCGAAAATACGGTATGGAGGGAAGCACGGCTACCTTGAAAACTCTCCATGAAAAGATCTAAGGGCACCCCGGAAACGCCAGGCCTCTTGACCGTTATGTTCGAAGACGCCATACTTGCCCACATTAGGCACCCTCGATGAACGTAGGCCCAAAAGTAGAGTCAACATGGGCTTCAATTCCGGCGTCAGAGCCCAAAATCACGTATAAAAGAGGGGTTTACAAAGCAGTGGCGACTCCTCTTCCGGAGAGCGTCGTGGAAGATATATTGAAAGTCATGCTCTAGTGATAGAAAGAGCACCTCGAGCCTTTAGCGATGTCAGGGCCCAGAAGCTAACCGGAAGCCGGCCCGAAGCTGCTGGCTTAGAGAGGCTTCCGGGGCCCCTTTGCGAGGGCGCCTTCCACGTTCCAGTAGCATAGGCCCTTAAATTTCTTTTGCTCAGCCCTGCACGTCTGTTAAAGATACTACTCATCGAAACCAATCCTCAATAGAATCCCATGACCTTT